ACGCACCACCAGAGCATTAGCAAAAAAGCGTAACTCAATTAAGCGCGCTCAAGCACGCATGAGAAGACGTATTCAAAATTTAGTGGATGAAATACATAAAAAAACTGCATTGTGGTTGACTAAGACTTTTGACATAATCGTGTTACCAAAATTTAATAGCCTCATAGACGAAAAAGAAAAATTAACAGCAAACAGTTCGAAAGATGATGGCTGGGCGCATGCTAGGAATCGATTGTTATCTCAAGCGAAGAATTTGGTAAAATCGTAATAACATCCGTATCTGAAGAATATACGAGTAAAACATGCAGTCGTTGCGGATATATTGGGAGGATTTGGGTGGAAATAAAGTATTTGGGTGTGATGGGTGTGGACTTTAGATTAATAGAGATCTAAATGGCGCCCGGGGAATTTTTATCCGGGCATTGCTTGATGGAGCCTTAGTTAATTAACATACTGAACATAATTATGCCAATCTGATTGGTTATAGTTGACTTTTTTAGCTATAGTTGATCGATTCAATCCATCCGCAATACTATTAATAAGAAATCGGATAACAATTATTGATTAATTAAAACAATCATCAATTAAACTCGTTATTATTAAGACAAAAGAGAATTCTACACAATCCAACCATTGGATTGCAAGCGCATTTGCTAGAGGCGATAGCAAAATATTAAAGCGCAAGCAAATATTTCCACAGTACCAGAAAAGAAACGTTTTGGATAACTGGATAGCGAGGGGGACCCATACTAAATTTATCTTGGTCAAAGGTAATGGCGGGGTAGCTTTGGTTTGTCATTGTTCAACGTGTGGTATAATAATAAAATTTCTAATATTGCTGAAAAACTTAAATAAACATGTTGTACTATTCGGTGCAGTATAACCGTTGCGAAAAACAAAATTTGTAAAAGTTTGATAGTAGCAAATTTGGGGCAATTTTCTATCTGTTAAAAATTAGTATTCGTTTTCTCAATAACGAATGAATGGATTTTGATAATTAAATTGATCATGATGCGACGAACAGTTTGATAGTTTTCTTATTTCGATTCACACACTATATGTTAGGTTATAAAAGTTATTAGAATTTTCTTCAATTCTTAAAGGCAAAGTTAGTAGTACCAGCAACTCAAACAACTGCACTTAAATTTAAATAACTTGACAACAAAAGTGCATTATAATCTTTTCAAATTCAGCCACTTGCTTAATTTGGAAAATAAAATTTTTTGTGTAGTTATTATGTCTGTTTTTGTCTTATTTAGAAAGAATGCTCCGCCATTACTTTTGACCAGGACTGTATGCATTATTATTACGATACTGATTATGGTTAAACAAGTCATCTGTCTAATCTGTGAAGAACTTCGTTTATCTTTTACCTAATTATGACCCGGTCATTCTTTGCCACTAAGAAAAATGATGTCGCAAAGTTTAAATCGAATTGATAACGTTCGGCTAAATTAGGAGAACAGTACCACAAACAGTTTAATACTTGACAGGAATCCCTTTACAATAATAACAGCATGTTATAAGTTAATGAAGAAAATGCACCATGTACCAATCTCTTTTTCAAATTACCATCGAATTGAAAAGTTGATTAGTTGAATCGATAATAATAACTCTCACTCTTGAAGACAATTTATAGTTTAAGAGGCCTTTCGTGAATTTTTCTTGTTGATCATTTTGCATGTGATTCGTCCCTGTGTGCCAGTTAACCTGTATTAGGTATGCAGGCATCCAGCAAAGCAATCTTAAAACCTACTGCTACTGCTTTGCTCAACCGATGGAGGACAGCACACTCACAACCCTTGTCAATACGCTTGGCGTCTTTATATTCACGCTGATATTTGCTTACCATTTCGTGGTGGTAAACGGAGAACAAGATCGTAATGCTACCTCGTAAGAAATCGAGCACGGCTTGGACTTGAGCATCAGCATTGTTCTGTCAGAGGTGTGTTAGTTTGAACGTCTCAGATCCGGGAATAGATAGAAAGACAATAGAGATCGGGAATTCGAGTAGCGGTTTGAGACACATACTGTATTACATATAATCTAACTCCCACATATAATACGTGTAGTTTAATTTACTGGTTTCATGATATATTGTCTTTACAATTTCACATTTAACTTACTACTAACAAACTTCTTAGGCTCTAAAACACACTCAGGATATGGCAATAGGTCCAGTTGGTGCATCCAGGTCCCCCCATCAACAACAAGTATATGTCCTGAAAAAAATAAATACTGTTATTTCCTAGTTTCTCCTGTAAATCATAAATTCCTTGTGTATATACCTGAGATGTATCTAGCGGCATCTGATACTAGGAATACAGTAGCGTATTCGATATCCTGGATCTTTCCAAGTGTTTGCAGAGGCGACCCTCGAATAAGTCGCTCGGTATCAGCAGCCGGCAGAAGCCTCTGTATGCCTTCAGTATCAGCAATGGGTCCGGGAGCAATGACATTCACTCGAATTCCAAGTGGTCCCAATTCAAGGGCAAGGCTCTGTAAAAAAACATAAGTTAGTAATCAATCAAAGCTTTCTGGTAAAGTGATGGCCGTAAAACATACCTTGCTTCTAATTGATCAAATGATAATGAATATATAATCATTGGTTTAGAAATAGATTCAGTTACATCATTGAAATAATGAAATTTTGGAACCTACAGGGCATCTACTCCAGCTTTAGCAGCTGAGACATGAGACTAGACCACCAAAAAGTTTGGAAGATACTGATTAGTAAATGACCCATTGATTATGTCAATATACGTAGCATTTATGTTACCTGAAATGACATTGCTGGGTCAAGGCCATGGAAGAAAGGAGACAAAAGTGATTAGATCTTATAGAGCGGAACAAACACTTTGTAAATTATTAACACTAACCTGTATAATGGTGTGTGGCCGAAACATTTATGATGCATCCTCTACTCTTCTTTAAGTATGGTAAGCATGCCTTTGTGACATTGAAAGTGCCAATGAGATCAATCTCGATGACCGTGCGGAATGCACGATAAGAAAGATTCTCGAAAGAGGCGAGGAAGTTGCCAGCTATAGAGTATTGATATTATTTAACTAAAAACTAAAAACGGACACACGAAGAAACGAATTTGATTCTTCACCAGCTCCATTGACAAGTATGTCGACCTTGCCAAATAACTCAATGGCTTTCCCCACAGCTTTTTCGACCTGTTCGGGATTGCGAACGTCAGCTGCAATCCCTCTGCAAGGCAAATTCGGATGCAGGCGTGAGAAGAAATACATTGATCCAATATCAACATTTTAAATAACTTACGCAATCTGGCCACCTGTTTTGGTCCTTAATTCCTCAGTAGCTCTATCAAGCCTATCTTGACTGTATAGAAAGAGTTAGTTACATTTTATTCTGCATTTCATAAACATGGTGTATATAAATCGTTGCGGATCATATCAAGTAAAATGGAGACCTTCTGCCGATAATAAAAGCCTTTGCACCGTGCCTTAATAAGGCTTCGGTCATGCCTTTGCATATGCCGCTTCCACCTACCGGCGAATTCAATAGCGTTCATTAATTCAAATGAAGAAAGATATATATATATATATATATAGCATACAGTCATTACCTCCAGTGACAAATGCAATCTTTCCAATTAGTAGGTCTTTCTTGAATACGTCCGTTGTAGGCATATTTAATATTGATAATAGCAATAATAATAAGTCTTCTCACGTTTAGGATATGTAACCGGTAACGATATATATTAATATTGACCACACGCAGAAACTAAAACAGTAGCCCATAAAATCGGGGATTTATCCAATTTTAGTTCGCCTTGTCAATCAAGCCTAATTCCGGATTTACATATTAATATCGATATTAATATGTAAATGCGGTTTTGGGGATAAGTCGGTTTTTAGGGGCCAAACGGGATTTACATAGGCCGTGTAATGATTACATGCTAAATTTCTCTTACCTGCTTAGGTAAATCTTCCGTGATTGCACTAATTATAATGTCATGCGAAAGTTGGTTACAACCTCTTGTTACTGTATCGTTAAAATCAAAGAGTATAATAAAATTCTAACTCGTTTGCATAAGAGCTTAAGTTAATCCCGTCAATTACTCCCGAACAGGCGAACAACAATAAGAATTACGAAATTACAGACTCAGCATGTAAAGAAAACTATAATAAGAGCGGAAATTGCTCTGCAATTGACAATGTTTCTTGGAACACGTACTTCCATATATAGGAACGGTTTTACGTGGACATCCTGATAGAATGGACCTTTGGTTAATCACTCTTACATGTATTCTTAAATAAATATATATCCCTCACGACAGAATGAGTTCTTCCTAACTATTGTCTAACCTTTTGTTTTCTTTTCTCTTTCTGAATGATTTTTTATATTTATCTTCAGCCTTATTCAGAACATCTATCACATATTTCACGGTATTTGATGATATTCTTTTTTGGGCCGTTGAATGCATTAATTCACTTGACAGAGATCCTATAGCCTCCCTAAATGCGGTCACCCTTCCCCGCAATCTCGGAATATCGTGATTCATTTCATTTACTACCCCTATCGTAACCTCGATTAGTGGTAGTATCTCATTTAACTCACTTTGTCTCAACTCACGTTCTACTGCATTTTCGAATAGTATTTGCAGCCAACCTCGATGGCGATCACGCTCAAGGGCACGTTTACCCTCATATTGGCCCTCATAAAGACGCTTGAGCACCCATGTTTGCGTATTAGAAACGGTTGTGAGTTTAAGTCCGGCATCCTTTACTTGTTTATCCAGCATTTCCGTCCATTCTAAAATGCTCTCGAGTCGAGGTTTAATCTCATCGACGGCTTCCTGGTCTATATTCCCGCCTGAACCATTGATCATATCGATGATCTCACGCAAATGCCATCGAAATAATAGAAAAAGAGATTCTCCACCATCGCTCACGGCGATAATCGATGTTACGGAATCGAATGCAGCATCAGCCAGTTCTAATAAACTTTCGGCAATTTCTGAACTGCCCTTAAACGCCGACTTACTGAACTTCGGGGCAATGTCACGATATACAATGAGCGGTTCTAGCAATGACTCAGACACTGAATAACAGTATACAGTTATGTTTGTACAATAGTAATGATGGAGAATACAAGCATGAACACAGAAGCTTATGAAGCAGAATGCAGAATAACGTCTTGCTGAGAATTTTCAGAGAAACTTGAGCAGTCTACCTATATTGTCGGTCCGTCCGATTTCATCAAATACATCGCCGGCGGTATCTACAAAATATTTCATTAACCCTGAAGCATCTGAACGAGTATCCTGAATATTACAAGATTGTTAGTGGTTTACATAGGCGAGTCGAGGCTGCCATTGTTAGAACAGAGTCATTACCGATTGCAACCATAACGCTAGTATGAGCACCAACATAGACAACAACACTATGGCAGCGCGAGAACGGGTAAAAATGTTCGAGCCTCTTAACTTATTCGCACCACCGTTGTTTTTGTCGTTCTCGGAAATGTTGGGCATGTCTTTACAATTTGCAGTGTTAATATCTAGAGGACGTGACCAGTAACGTTCTGACATGTATAAAAGGCTTACCAAATTTCACTTTCATCTTCTTGTCATCTTCTGATTATTATTGCTTGTTAGGATGCCATCGATATCTCTAGCGCGATAAAAGACAATCAACGAAATGTACCTGTATGTTCATCCAAGTTTCGTATAATTGCCATTGTTCGATAAACAACAACTAATTCCAGATATTATAAAATACAACAACGCCTCGGAGAAAGTTACCAAGATGTTACACAAACATGAATCAGATGACTGTTATGCACATTTTTATAATTAGCGCGCAGTGAGAATTTAACGTAAGCTCGATTTGGAAAGTACTAAGTTTTAAAAAACCCGCTAATTATGGCATCTTGCTCATGGAGATGAGAAATCTTTGGTCAAACAGTCAAGGCGAATCAATGTGTGTGCTTAAAATATCTGTCTTTGATACGAGTGAGTTATTATGATTATCTGGCAGAAGATGTTCTGAGCTAGACAGAAAGCGATATATTGGAACGTTAACAGGAAAACTTTACCATACGGTTTATCCGTTCACGACTCTCTAATAGTCGATCGATTGACACCAATCCTCGATATTCACTATTATCCGCCGATGGGATTAGTTTCGATGGTCTATAGTTCTGAGGTGTTCGTATAATTCTCAAGCATTGCCAACTGAACAAATATTTATCGTAATTGCCACGAAAGTAATCGCGGTACAAGAGGCGAATGATATAGGGATTAACGGTTTCTCAGCTATATCGTAATTTACTAGAGAACGGATCATTAAAAATGTATTTCAGAGTATAAAAACTGCTATTAATATTGCCAGATTACACCAAAATTCAAAAATTGTCGTTTTTCGCTGTTACGCACAAATGTAGGTGACTATCTAGTCGAAGAAATGTTTTTAAACGATAATTAAAGTTTCACAAGTCAAATCATGTGATTGACTTTATTTCATTTGGTAACGACGATCAGTTTAAATTTTGGAGTCCGCTTCTGTCAATTTGACAATGGAGCGACAACTTACCCAGACTTCTGAGCAAGACAATAGCCCTGGCCCGGGAAAACAACGTTCGAACGAAAATGAAGACAAGGAATTTAGTTATAATATAAAGAGAGAGCAACCCGTGCAGCAAGATAATGGCCTTGTTGCCGACAACCCGGGAGAACAACTTTCGAATGAAAGAGAACTTTGTAAGGAATTTAGTTATGATATAAAGAGAGAGCAACCCGTGCAGCAAGAGTCCACTCTTCACTTGGTATTGTGTCTGCGGGGTGGTATGCAAATTTTTGTCAAGACACTCACGGGCAAGACGATAACACTGGAGGTCGAGTCTAGTGATACGATTGATAATGTTATAGTTAAGCAAAAAATTCAGGATAAGGAAGGTATTCCTCCAGACCAGCAACGTTTAATCTTCACCGGTAAGCAGTTAGAAGATGGGCGTAATGGCCTTGTTTCCGACAACCCGAGAGAACAACTCTCGAATGAAAGAGAACTTTGTAAAGAATTTAGTTATTATATAAGGAGAGAGCAACCCGTGCAGCAAGATAATGGCCTTGTTGCCGACAACCCGAGAGAACAGCTTTCGAATGAAAGAGAATTTTGTAATGATATAAATGTAAAACGACCTATACAGATGCAAGACAATAGCCTTGGTGCCGACAACCCGAAAGAGCTACCTTCGAACGAGAGAGAACCTTGTAATGATATAAATGGAAAATATCTTGAACAGAAGCCTAAACAAGATAATAGCCTTAATGCTCACCAAAAAACAGAGCGAGTAAACAAATCCATCACCCTAAAAGGAATAAAGAATGCTGTTACAAGTCTGCCACAATGGGCTGAAAAGTTCATTATTTTGCTTATAATAATAATAATATTATTATTATTATTACCAGTACTCCAATGCTATTTAACTCCGTGTTCCAACTTTAAGCATGATGCGATTTTTGAACATTTGGAAACCGTTAGTACGGGACTAGTGGAGAGTTTGGATGGAATAGACGCTCCGGGTATGTGGTTGTCTTTCCTTTGTATCTAGTTTTAAAAATTTTCCCCCTATTCTTATCCTATTATTATTTTATTTCAAGGATCCTTTAATATTGAAGAATTTACACCAAAACTACTTTTTGTTGCTAACGCAATAGAAAGAAATCAGTACAAACTGGAGAATGCACGAGAGTATTCTAAATTCTTGAGAAGTCTTGCGAAGTCTAATGAAAGAATAGGAAAGAGTATAGAAGTACTGTACAATAGTGGAGAGGAGGATCTTAAACGCTTCAGAAAAGAACTCAATGCAATGGCTTCTAATATTCTTGTTGGGAAATCACTCCGGGGAGAGAATATTGAGCGACTTATAAATAAATATCAAAGTTTGATCGATCAGATGAGTTCCATCATCGACCGTTTAAAGGATGCTGAGATATCGATTAACGACATGTCGGAACTCTGTAACGAACCGAACCAACAAATAGACAAAGTTTTAGCTTACATCAGAGAGCTGGGAGACGATCGGAGTGAATACGTGCTCAATGAATTGAGCAGACCGTTAGAGCAATACAAGGCAATCATAAATCACCTGATGAAATCTAACAAACAAATTGAAAAAACGCTTCAAACCATGAAGATGCTGAAAAAATCATTAACACAGGATAAAGGGGTGTTGTCAACACTTGTAGACAGGGATACGATTGAACTCAGACAAGATAAAGTCGCATCTGTCAGTAGAGCAGCAGCATTTATCGAAGAGAGAGCTGGACGATTCGTGAAGAAGGATAAAAATAGGTCTCACATGATAATGTGAGATCCAATCTCTTGTCAAAAAACTATTATTATTAAAATAAAATATAGCCATATTTCCATTTTTGGCGTATGTACTTCGCATCCTCAGTTTTTAAAAGCCGCGTACTTTTTTCTAGCATCTTCTAAAGTATCGGTCAAAAACTCCAACATAGCCCTTGAGGGTCTTTCATGTGCGATTGATTCGCTTAGATCCGCTTTCAATTGCGTTATGCTTTCTGCAAACCTGTTTAGATTTCTCGAAATTTTTGCGACATGGCCATTCATATTGTTTATAACCTTTATGGTATTCCCGATTTGTAGGAGCGCCTCATTTAACTGACCTTGCCTCAGTTCGCGTGTTGCCGCTCTGCCAGTTAATATGTCAATTACCCACAGAATCCAGCTATTGAAGCGAGCGCGATCTTGTACAAGAGCATTACTACCTTCACGTTGACCATTGCGAAGAGAATTTAGCGTCCATTTTTTCAAATTGACGACTCTTTCCATTCTTATTCTGGCATCCTTTATACGTATTCCCACGTTTTCTGCTAAAGTTGAAATGCTCTCCAGTCGATTCATAATATCTTCGATAGTTTTCCCGTCTGGTTTTCCTTCGATATCGTTGAAAATATCAATAATTTCATGAATCTGCCATTTAAACCTTCGAAATAAAGCATCTCCGGAGTCTTCCATGATTAGAAGAGACCCTACGGCATCGCTCACGGCATTCGCTAGGTCTACGAGGTTGTCCTCAATGTCTTGGCCATATATTTTGAGTTGCCCATTGTTAATCTTCGTGCCAAGCTGTTGGCAATTGTCGAATAATGCCCATGATGAATCTATATCAATATATTGAATGTATAAAACGTAGCGAGTAAGAATTTTATACCTTGGCTGGTAAACAAACAAATTTAGAAAAAACGCACCGGCAATGTCTGCAAAGTGTTCTGAATTCTTGCCCTGAATAATTGTAAGGTATCAGCGCGTTATATATTTCGTAGTAGGACTATTTCATATTTGGCTCTCCTTACCGTCACGATTACTGTTTGTAGCGCTAAGACGATTATAAGAGGCAATACGCTCGATGTTGCAAAGAATGTATGCTTCATTCTGCCTAAATCTTCCGAGTTGCTAAGTTAGTAAATGGCTTTGAATTCGCACAAATAGCACATAATTATGATAAGCTTACCAAGACTTGATTTAGTCAAAGTCTACCTGCGTTGTCTTTTAGAATCAATCTTCTTCCGAGTCTGAGAAAGTAAGCCATTCATCATGTGTCCGTGGGTAGTGTACTTCACGACAAATTCTAGGCCAAGCGAAAATCGCAAGAAGAATTAACATGTAATAGTAACGGTAATGGGCTCCCAGTATTTATATGCTTTATATTAGAAGTTTGAGCGCAATACATACTTTCCATAATACTCACTGCACCAAGTAATGTATTTGGACTCGCTTGTGGCAATAAAGATTCGACAAACGTTCTTTAATATGACCCGTGTGATCGCACTATTAACATCAATTAGCAAGTTCAGCCCCTTTAGATTTTAACTAGTTAATGACGCTAGTGCCTTTCAAGTTTTCAGTTGCATGCATTTCTTGCGGACGATAATTTCTTACAGCCGAAACCGTACTTAAGCACATATTGATTGTAAGAGACACCGCAAGCACACATCAGCTTGGTTTATCTCCAACTCTTAGCTCTAACAGACGCTTCAATCCTTTCTGATACAATCCATAAACTGAATCCATATTTTCTCATCATTAATAGAGAATTGGAAGCAGATGGAGCGAACCATTCCGGGTGTTATTGCAGGTTGTCGTGTATTCTCCAATATTGTTCAATGAAATTTAACAGAATAGAACTTGGAGTAGAAGACTTATGTTACCCCTAAAATCTTGCGGCGCTTCGAGACAAAGTCTGAGACAGCCGAGCCCATCAAAATAGCATCGGCAGCTTCCGCCATTTTACGAGTCATGACAAAGGCATTCAATTATTCTTTTGTATAACTATCAAATGAGAATTTTTGCCGCAAACAAATCTATCGATATCCTTTGCCAGATGTCAATAAAAAATCGTCACTTTTCGGCGTCAATAATAGCGGATTACGTTAGTTGTTACACATTATTTAAACTCTTCTGTTGCCGCGACCATATCTTAGCGTCACATAACACATTAAATGCAAACGCGAGTTTGCATATTACGAAATACAGTTTTTTATAAACTTTCAGAAATATAGTCAATATTTTTAGTTTCCTTTATCTTTGATGATAACCGAACGAGATGCTATGCTCAGATTATGTATTCCTCATTACGCTTTCTATTGTAAATTTCAATTAGATTAATATTAAGCCTTTGAGCGCGCCAGGAAGTACCATACCTTTCGACGAGTAAGTTCGCTATTGCCGTTTAATTAATTTACAAGTGCTGACAGTAGAGATAAGTGAGGAGAGCCCCCCTTTGTCGATGTTGGGGGTTTCTTCCAAACGAACGTCATAGTAAATGATTATGATTGTCGCATGTGGCGTCTTACGACAATGTAACCTTAACCCCAGATCATCGATAAGGTTATTACACTGCAGATTGGCGTTATATAATATTGAATTGATACATTGTAAGTATTAACGGGTACGCAAGCATCTCGAGCCATTATGACGTTTATGGATGTCCGCATTGATTATTGGATTGCAATGATGTAATTATCTGTCTCTATCATCGGCTGTCGTGCATTCTGATGTCATCGGGCTGATCGGAAATACATAGTGTAACCTTGTACTAATAAACCGATTGTTTTTTAAACTATAAATACATTACCTCTCTACTCACCGTTCAACTTGGCGTTGAAACCACCCGTAAGAAATCGTCGCTATTTTAACAAACTATAGACGTAACTATCACGAATCTACGTGATTCACTAAGCAACAATCACTCGATTGAACTATCAATTAAGAATAAAGCGCGTCACACAATTCAATAAAATCGTCAACTATGACATACGCCAACACAGTTACACCTTCCCTGCTAGCAAGACGGAAGGACCCTCCTAGCTTCCTCGTAAAGAGATTTTCCCAAGTACTTGATAAGCGAATCGAAATA